CCCTGAGCAGCCCTTGCCCACCGCTGCCGTGCTGCCCTCAGCTGCCTCCCTCCCCGGCATCCCCTGCAAACCCGGGTGGGACCGTGCCGAGCCCCGCTCTGCCACTTGGAGCTGCCTGAGGGGCCGCCGGGCGCACCCAGACGCGCGGTGGGGCCGCTGCTCCATCCCGCTGCTCCTGTGTGACCTGCACAGGGCAAACACAGGAGCTGGGTTCTTGCTCAGGATGAGGATTTTTATTTTGAACTCCTAGACTCAGTTTTTTAGCAGCAGAGGAGCTTCCAGAGACAGGACTGGTGCTGTACCTCTTTTCCTGCTTGCAAGAACACTCGCTCTGTGACCCTCATGAGTGCAGATGGTGACTTCCAGCTGAAGCCTTTCATATTTCATGACACTTCTCTCCAGTGCAAAAGCCAGACAGATCCCCTTAGCTTACATGCACACCTGGTTTGTCTGAAGCAGCCTGTTAACAAGGACAGTATCACAGGGACAGCCATACCCAGGGTTAACAGCACGAGTAAAGCCTGCCCGCAATAACCCTGCCCGGCTGGCGGGTGCCCAGCACCGTGAGCTGCAGTTCCAGTGACAGGCACTATCCCAGCCCCCGTGCCCTTGGCACGCTGGGGGCATGGCAGCCCTGGAAGTCTGCCAGACCCAGCTCCTTTCGGGCTGAAGTGTGGCATGTCTCTCCAACCTCCCATTTCCAGACACTTCTTAACTGCTTCCTTCATGTTATTTTATTTCAGTGATTTAAATTTTCTGTGACACGTTTTGGCACTCGAAGAATTTTGTGAAAACCTAAATATTCCTGCTGCAAAGGCTCTGTGTGTATGCTCCTCTTAAATCTTCCTGTTTATTTTATTTTTCAATATTAACAGCCAATGTTACTAATCAACTTTAGGATCACGGACTAATAAAAATATTGCATAGTGCAAAGGCTACATCCCAAGCTCTTACAGCCCCATGGGATATGCCTACTTGTATAAAGGACAGACTAAGAATTTTTTAATCCTTTCACCCTATTTACAAAGCAAATCTGGACTTTAAATGCTTAGAGAACTGGGAAAACCATAGCCACGTTCATGCATTACACTGTGACTTTGCAGGCACACCATAAAAAATTTACTGACAAAATAGAGCACTCGGTGAGCCACTTACCACACTGTTAAATACCATCAGCTTTTTCTGCTTAATACTCAAGATTTTGCCCTTTAAAATACTGATTTAATTTTTTGTCTCTACAGTATGTTCTTTACTAGAGCCGGCAGTTTATAAGCAGCAGTAACAGAGGAAAAGAGCCTCCACCCAAATATTTTTTAACCAATTCCTCAAAATATATGTGCCAAAACTGGATGGAAAAAATCTGTTATTTAAACAAGAGTGCAAGAGTAACACTTTTGTGCTGCTTATCCTCTTCATCTGTCCACAAACCAACTCCTTTTTCGACTTTCCTAAACACAGTAAAGCTGCAGCTCAGCGCAGCAGGGTGAGCAGCAGAGCCGGCCAGGAGGCACTGCAGGGCACGTCACCTTCTGGGCAGGCTGCAGTGGCTCCCTGGGGGCTTCCAGAACACCACAGAGAAATCTGCAATTTGAGCTCTAAACTTCCTTGGGGAGGTGAAGGATGTAATTTGATCTTTCTTTTGCAAAGTGTAAGTGCACAGAGGTTGGCAAGGCTAGGTTCAGGGCCTGAGATTTGGGAACACTCTACAAAAACACTTGCTGCAATCAGGCTTCCACCCTCATAAATATCTGCTTTACAATTACAAAGTGACAGCTGTGAAAATCTATCAAAATATTGTCTCCTTTTCCTTTTATATTGTCTTGGAAGGAATGCTGTGATAAATTTAATTGTGTTTAAATTTGAAGAGCTCTGGACTGTGTTTCTCCCAAAACTGGCACCAGGTATTGTTTGACCGTCCAAAACATTTGCTTCACTCACAATGCTTGAGGGAACAAATATGCACAACATTGATACCTACTCTGCAGTATGGCAATACTCTTACCTCTTATTGGCTAAAAATACTAGTGCAAATATATCAGACTTCATTGGCTAATAAATGCATTTTAAAATTAATTCCACATATGAGACACTGATCATGCTTTCACACCATGTTTCAGTCAAAGTATAAATTTTACAGGAGAAAGGGAACAGCAGCTACAGCAACTTTCAGGTGAGTTCACCCTATGGAGCTCATTTCCACAGGAAAACAGAAGTGTCTTGATGCAGTAACTGAAATATGGTTGTTATGAAGCAATAAATCCATTGCACCTCTTCAATAGCCTTTTCTGTACTGAAGGAATCTTGGTTTTTAAAGTGATCATTTAACATTTTAGATTCCCTTACTAAGAAACTCCCTTTTGTGAGTCAATAACTACAATGTCTGAATTACCCAGAGAAAAACCACTAAGGCTGTTCCCCTCAAGTGCCCATAAAGAATATTCTGCACAAGAAATACAGGAAACAAATTAGAAAGCAGGACTGTAAACACCCAAATTCTTGTCCTGCTGATACACAGCAAAACTACCTGCTCCTGCACAGGAAGATCATTCAGTGATGAAAACAGTCTTGCTCACATGTCTCCAGTGTAGCTGCAGTCACGGGTACAACCCAGCAGCACACTGCTGCTGCAGAGCCAGGGGCTTCACTGTGCTCAAGCCAGGCTTTCAGCAGAATTCAAATGAGGCTGTGTCTTGACACGCAACAACTAAATGCCCACAGGATCAGAATCTGGTCTTCAACTTTGAGCAAAACCCAGCAGCATTTAACTAAACATATCTACTGTTTCCTGCAAGAAGCCATGACATTGAGTACTCAAACAAAGCCAATGGATTAAAAGAACTCAGAAGTAGATACACAAAATCAAATCCTGCACACAATTCCCACTGAAATTTATGGGACATGAGGACAGACATAAATGAATCATGACATCAATTATTAATAAATTGATATATACTTTATTATGCACAAGAGACTAAGATGACATGACACTGTGGTTATCAAAACTGTACAATTATGCATTTCCACAAGGCTCTGAAATACTGAATGCAATATGAAATACAAACGGGGTGTTCAGACTGGCCACAGGTTTTAGGAAGTAAATTTCTCCCATTCTTTGATTTGGCATTTGCATCTAAAAGAAATATACTTATTTATTCAAAGGTGAGAATATTGTGTTTGGAACTGTCAGGACACAGCAGCGAAGATCTGGTAACACTGTGAACATCCTGATGAATGACAAACAACAACAGGGTACAACAGGCACCTCACATGAAGGGCTGCCAGCACAACCAACAGTACAGTCTTCTTGTGAAGCATGAGGTAGATATACATAACAGAAAGAACATACAGGAGAGGAATGGTTAGGAAAGAGCGGGGGAAAGGTTACAATCATCAGCATCTACAGACATTTTGCAAAATCCATTTTCATGTGGCAAATGCTACAAAAATAGCCGAACACAGAAAGATCTGATCTCTCGAATCACAAATGTAGAAGTGTCCAAAACCAAATAAAGTAAAAAGTTAGAGTTAGTGATTAGACAACACATGACAGAACAAGCAGTCTACTTGGACGTTTAAGTATCCTAATAGCTTTTACAGGCACAAGGTGTCCATTTTAAGCCCAATCCTCCCAATCTTACATAAGAAGTTCCTTCGCAGTTGATTCCATCATGCTGAAATTAACACTGACTCCGTCCATGCAAACCCCTGCTGGGACAGCAGAGTCTCCCTGGCCTTCAGGCCCCACAGGGCTCTGCCATGTGAGCCCAGCGTGGTGAAACCCCCGGGGCAGAGGAGGGAATCAGCACCTCAGGAGCTGCCACACCACACACAGAGACTGGCAGTGCTGACAAATGGCTGCTGTAAAACCAGAGCTGTGTCAGGCTCTGAGCTGAGGGCAGCTTAGCAGCTGCTGCAAAGTACTGCACACTTCTGTTATAAAGTTATTCACTGGGAATGTTTGGGTTTGGTTCTCTCTCTTTATTGAAGCAGAAATGACTCTTCCATCTGCTAAGCAATCATGTGCCATTTTGGTAAACTCCAACAGACAATTAACTCAGTTCTATTAAAACTGCTGAATTAAATAGCTGAGTACACCACGTTCAGTTAATTTAAACTGAATTTCACACACAAGTCAACAAATCAAATCTTTGACCTTTATATATTTTTGGTTTATCCAATGGTATATATAAATCTGTAAATTATTCTAAAATTAGATTAAAGTTTTGATAAAATGATTGATAATGCAGCATGTTTCTCTCAAAAATATACAATTATCTATTTCACACAGAATTTTTCAACCTGTCCATCCCAACAACCAAATCTAATACTTCCTATGAGAAACTACTTAATAAAATATCTGGGGAAGGAAAGGGTTAAAATGGGGAAAGGAATTTACAAAATATGTAAATTTCACAGTAATTGAAATTAAACATTTCATATAGAGTAACTTACATTTATCTAAAACATTTAAATATATCTTTATACAGAAATTTAATGTAGTAAAATATAGCTATGATTGAAGTTAAAGACTCTAGTCTTCTTTGAAGACATCTTTAAAGACTTTACACATAGAATATGCTTTAACAATACATTCTGCTGAAGGTTAGGCAAAGCGCTTTCTTTTCAACCACACAGGCAGCACATTCATCCTCCCCACGGCTCAGAGCAGAGCCACCCTGCACACCCTTCTGCAGGGGTAACCACACTTTCATGGCACCCTGTCCACATCACCAGGCCTGCAGCATCAAATATCTTTGTATGTGTGACACCGAGACCAGCCCTGGTTCAGAGTCCAGCACGTGCTTCCAATAGTGAGGACAAGGTGTGCAGTTACCCGCTTGCAGAGGGGTTTGCAGGATTGGTAACAGATTTGATTTAAAGTGAGTAACACTCTGCCTGATCCTGGCACTTAAATCTTTGCATATGTTGCACTTGGACTATCCTGGCATCAGCAAGGCACAAGTGTAGAATCAGTAAGAAATCTGCAGCTCAGACTTCAGAGCAGACTATCACTCGAGTGTAATGAAGTCCCTTCCTCTCTTGCAGAGCACAGGTAATCTTCACTACAACTAATGAAAGTTATTCATCTCATTCTTAGAGGAAACCCATGCCCTCTCTTCCTCAAAGAAGGATCAGTAGAACACATTACAAAGTGGCAAGTAACAGTCAAACAATTACATGTTAAAAGTGTCTTTTTCTGCTTTTCATTTTGCATCAATTTGAAGGTGAAGATAAGGCAATGACACTAAAAATAGTGACAATTAGTACCCTTCTCCCATTTCCATATTCTGATACTACTTTGGGACTATCCAATGATAACATTCATGCAACAGTTTGACACAAACAACTGCACAACTATTTTCAGAGAATAGCAAACAACAGGCACTATTGTACATTCCTTGTGCCCTCAAACCCATGTCTTATTTTAAAGAGAATTTAGGCTAGCTAAAAGATTAGAACCAAATCAACTTTTTTAGCTCATCTATCTACTGTTATAAACTGAAAAGACAGTTTTTCTTTTTTTTATATATATCTATTTATGGATTATATGTTTATGTATAGAAGGAATGCTGTGCTAATTTCCAATTGGTAAAGTGGTTAGGCTGTGTATACCTTGATATAGATCTATTTGCATAAAGACATTGCCATTAAAGGTACACACCCATCTATGTTAGTGCATAAGACCATTTTTGTTTTAATGTTTGTGTGCGCCTGTTTTTGATATAGCAGATCAAAAAACCTCTTATAAAAGAGCTTTGGCCCGTAAAACAAGAGAGGGAATGTTAGAGTGTGCTCTTTTCCAATTACTAAATCAATGACTATAATAACAAAAATACCTGGAACAAACCTGAAGCTGCAAACACAACAGGAAAGCAAATGAGATGCTGTAGCTGTAAGCTGAAAAAACAAAGATTATTCAAAAGAGGCTAAATGTAGCTGAATAATAAAATGTTATTTACCAAGGAGATCTGACATTGATGCTTTCTTGCTCAGAAAAAGAAAAATCCTTTGACCTAAGTTCACCTTTGTTCTTATCTTATGTAGTGATAGGACAAGGAGTAATGGCTTTAAACTGAAATAGGGAGGTTTAGATTAGACATTAGGAAAAAACTCTTTACTGTGAGGGTGGTGAGGACCTGAACAGGTTGCCCAGAGAAGTTGTGGATATCCCATCTCTAGAAGTATTCAAAGGCACATTGGATGGGGCTTGAGCAACCTGGTCTAGTGGAAAGTGTCTCTGCCCAGGGCAGAGGGTTGGAACTAGATGATCTTTAAGGTCCCTTCCAACCCAAACCATTCTGTGATTCTATGACTGAATTCCCTTAATGAATACCTTGTGTCAATGATAAGGTTCAGGGAAAGGAAAAAATCATATAGACAAAGCAGCATTTTTCCAAACTGGCATAGATTTCACATTGAGGGCCCACAGACCCCTAGAACAGGTTGCAGTACTGTAAAATTAGTAGCTTTGTCACATGTAGCATAACATGCTAACAAGATCCAACAGGCTGTGTTCACTCATGCATTGTGTGCTCATTTACACACTCACACACACAGTGGCTTCCCCAAAAGAAAATCAGTCTTTTTTTTCCCCCCATAGAAAAATCCCTCCTCATTTTTTCCAGAAACAACCAAACCGATCCTTTCAACGTTCAGAAGCTGCTGTCCAATGTCCCCACAGTCCTGTGCTGCTCCCTGGCTGTGTCCCTGGGTTAGGTGGCACTGCTGCTGGAGCAGGGGGTGCTCTGTGTGCTGCCAATGCTGTGGGCTGCACTGCTGTTCTCGGAGGCTGGCGGCGATGTAGGGACCTGCTGTCTTCCCGCTGTCTCCCCTGAGGGACAGGCAAGAGAAAAAGTGGGGTCAGGAGAAGGGAAACTGAAAATGTTCTCATAGAAAACAACAACCCATTTCTTCCCAGTCCTCCTCTTCTGGTGGTTTGTTTTCTTATGCAATTAACATATTGGGTAACAGACCTTAATTGGAGTATCTCTGAAAATGTTACCAGACTTTGGCACCTCAGCATGGCTGTGCACATGGGGAAAATAACAGCGCTGTTTCCTTGAGCATTTTACAAGCAGTGATGGAAACTGCCAAGATCAACACTGTCTATCTTCTGTTGTCAGCTGTCACTCAAGATGGATCCTATTACACAACTCAGACACTTTACAGCTTTGCTGTTTCCAGGAAAAAGGCCAGGAAATGTAGGCTTTAGTTTTAACGCCAGTTTATAGAGCGGCATATTTACTAAAAGTGTAGCTCAAAACAATCTTCTTCCATCAGCTGGATACCACATATCCTGAGACATAGCCAGTTTTCTTCATGAAGAAAAACAACAGGCTATCCTGAAAGCTTGACTTGATTTACTCCTAACACAACATGCAGGAAGTTTTCCTATAGTTACACAGTATGTGCAGCACTTAAAACCCGTAGTGAGAGCATGTCTCAACAACCCCTTCGCTATTGATATTGCCAAGTCAAGCACTTGGAGTCTCCTCACACCGTTCTGCACCTGTGGCTGGGACTGAAAGGAAAAATCCAGCTGTCAACTAAGCACGAAAGTAATAATTATGCCATGCAATGCCTCAAAGATCATAATAAGGCCACATAGGAAACCATAACTGTGGCATTTTTAAAGTTACAGTGCTCAAGTCTGTAACCTTAGCAATATTACAAAATAGTCTCTTCAAAACAGATGGCAAGACTTAAGTTTATATAATGTGCACTGTAGCTGCCCCCTCCCTTGAGCTCATCTCCAGCAAGCGAACCTGTGATCTCAGTGCAGCAACAGTCACACTGCTGCTGCCTGAGCTGCAGACCTGCTGTGGCAGCCAGAACCAGCATAGCTGCTTTCCCAGAAAAGCAGCAAGATGGAAATGATTTGTGGAATCATGGGCAGAGCAATTAGGAAAAGTCAGAGGCTAGTACATCTCCTGCCTCATGAGCTTATGGTGACACAGCTCTCCTGCTCCACATTATCCTATGTTATCCAGAACTTGATGCCATGGGTCAGGTCTGCACACTCCAATTTTTCTTCCATGTTCAGGATTTGGTAGAGATCCCACTTCCCAGTAACTGCTTCAGTGACAGGCTGAAGGCCGGAGGCACAGCCTGCATCCAGAGGGTTACAGAGCAAGGACGAGCCAGCTTCCTCCCACAGGAGCTGCTCTGGCACATCCCCATGCCCTGTGTGCTGCTGCCCAGCTGCCAGAGCCCGGCTTCTCGGAAGGGCTGCAGAGGAAATGCGCCTTTAACGCTTTGTGTCTCAGGCCACAAAATATCCTCCTGCAGCCTGCTCAGTACTCAGAGGTGCTGCGAACAAACAAGGGAGGTCTGAGGATTTCTCACAGCAGAGGTTGCAAGTGCTCTGTGCAATGGAGCCCAGCAGATGTGCTGCTAGCTCAAGCCACAGCCACAGCTGAAGTGCACTTAAAGCCCCACAACACACAGCTCTTCCCTTACACCCCACTGGTTTAGGAATGGGGAGTAAAAAAGGGGCAGGACAGGACAGAAAAAACAACAAATTAAACTACTAAACCACACTGCTCAGGAGGCCAAATAAACTTTTAAAAAGATGTGAAGATCTTGTTTTTAAATTCAGCATTCGGTCCAGCATTTTACTCTAGTGAGCAGATTTTGAATCTGTTTTTCCCAGTGTAAGAAATAACTATTGTAGCTCATACACGAGCCACGGATTTCTGCTCACAGGCAGCGGGTCAGAATCTACCCCCAGTCATCTGCAAAAAAACCAAGTTTCAGCTTTAACTTGCTTTGGAAGTGGCTTCGCAACCCCCCAGAATAAACAGCATCAAATCAAAGTATGTGTCATCGTGCTGCACAGGCTTTCATAAGCCTTGTTTGGATGTTTCTTCCCCTCCCGACTTGCTCCCTTCTCCTCCCGTTGTTTGTGTACATGTTTTCCTTCCTTTTGTACTACAGGATATATTTATAAAGGCAGCGATAAGCAAACTCCCTTTCATTGAAACTAAACAAGAGACAGCCGTCAGGAGGCAGCGAGGGGGCCGCAGAGCCGCAGCCCCGCCGCAGAAGCCGCTCGGGAGGGCGGCAGAGGAGGGGCGGCCGCGGGGCTCCCCCGGCAGGGCCCCCGGCCCGCGCCTCCCCTGCAGCTCTGCTGTCACCCGTTCTACAGAGCACATGGTTACACAGCTTTGGGCAGCCCCAGCACATCAACACAATCTGCATGCATTTAAACATAATTCATTTGTAAGCCAAACACATGCTGCTTTTATGTTATGGTAAAGCGAAAGCGCAGTGCCACGGTCCCCAGCAAACCCAATGGCTCGCTCTCTTCTCCTGGCTCCTCTGGAAAGTGTCCTAGGAGGCACCCTCCCTTCTGTTTGGCTTGGAAGGCCCCTTCCTTCCACTGCAATGGCCTCTGCAGCACCTCATTTCTAGAGCACATCAGCAGCTCTGATGCACCACAATCACTTCTTGAACAATAACAAATTCTCTCTTAATGTTGTCAAGAAAAAAGAAAGTCCAAATCAAAGTAATGTTATGAACACACTGTCTAGCAACTACATCTGGACTTGCTGATTTTTCCTGTATTTTACTTCCTCAACACCTAGCTAAACCGTAGCAAAGCTTTTTTTAAAAGAGTATTCAAGAAAAGGACGTAAAGAAATCTAAACAATCATTGAAGAAGCATTCTCTATCTGTCTTTTTCGTGTAAACAGCTTCATGTATCTCATGTTACTGAACCAAAACTGCTCAGAATGGACACATCTCATCTATTGACAGTAAACAAGCTTTTACCCATCTGAACACGACAACACGCACTTTATTATTCACTCTTAGGAAAGCTGCCAGTTGTACTCCCTGTCCAGGAAGTCTGAATGTTTGCTTTTCTATCTCCATTTGCCAAATATAATTGGTTGCTATGTCAGTTTACTTTAAATCAGATCTCATAAAAAAGGGAGAGAAGTGGGGGAGGAGAGACACTTTTAACTTCTCAGATTTTGGAACACTTTATCCTCTTAATTTGCAGCACAGCCCGAAGAAGGGAAGCGCACTTCCTCGGAGAAGGCAGCGACGGGTGTTTTCTGTAACACACTTTACAAGGTTTAATGGTCACATTAACTAATCAGGCTTGTGCCTGTCTCTCCTAAACACACTCAGTGAACCCTACTAAGACATGTATTACATTGATACATATTCATATGGTTAAATTAGGAAGAGTATCTGCATTCATGCACATTGCAAAACTTTTGCTTCTTTACAAGGCCCCTAAATAAATGAGGTTAATTGTGGCACATGTCTGGTATTTCCCTTAGTTCTTGGGTGCTCTCCAGGCAGCACCAACACCTTTCATGCCCTTTAACTGACTAGAGAAAGGATCAAAAGTACTGAGTCTTTTTGCAGACAAGTCAGCTAAAACTCCTCCTCTGTTGTTCTGATATTAGCTTTCCCTCTCTCTTCTTTTACTACCTGTCTATCATAGGACATCTCTATTCCATGTCAAATTGCTTCAGACAATCTAGAATTTTCTAATGCACAGCTGTGATGCTTTGGCAGAAATTTTTCATGACTGAAATTTGCAAAAGCCCTACATGACAACAATCCTTGCTCAATATCTGGAGATGAAATTCTACCTATTTTGTGGTTCCTTTCTGCTATGACCTGCTTGAGGTTTTAATGCTAATGGCCTATCAAGACAAACAAAAGAGCTCATTCACATAACACCTTCTTTGTTAGCAGCAGAGACACACTAATAAAATTGTATCAGCAAATCTTACTGCTGGCAAAAAGGTGGGCTTTTGCTGCATTGCACATAGCACTACAGCAACAAAAATAACTTATTTCACACATCCCAAGCTGCCATTCTCTACCAGCAGTAGCTTTTATCTGTGCTCTGAGTATCAGCAAAAGAGAGCTCTAGAATGAACTCATATTTTCCAACCTTTTGTCTAAACCATATATTGGAAACTCAGTACTGCTCACAAAAAAAGATGCAATTTCAGAACACGATTCAGCAATGCATAAATTCTCTAATGGCAAAAGACAGCCACTTTGTAGATGAAATTTGGATTATCTTTTTTTCTTCCCCTCCTCAAGTCAATAAAAGCCTGCAGCGAGCTCTGAAATGTTTCCACTGCAGCTGGATTATCCTGTCTGCCACAGCAGTTGGCCTCTAAGAGGCTGTGCCTGCCAGAACCTTTGCTCCCTTTGCTGCAAGTTATGCTTTGTAAATACAAGACGCTATGCACAGAAAAATTATGTGCACAGGAACATAGGTGCACTTTCACAATCCTTTGAAAATCTGAACCAGAAAACCACCTAGATAATTTTTATCATTTCTGTGATTCTCTAATCTGGTGAGTTACAGTGTCCCCTTTCTTTCTTATATTCATTTACTACTTTTTGTGTGACCTTTTTCTCCACTTATTTACATCTCTCAAGCACAAAGCCAGAGCAGCTGCCCTCTCCACTACTTTTATGTGGTCACCATGACTGATGTCCTTCACTAATATAATTCTTTTAATGGGATTGCTCCAAGTTCTACTGTTGCTGAAGGATTTATCCTGTTGGCTTCCCACTGTTCCTTGACTACTGACACACAACATGTCTATAGATGGTTCTGTGTGTGAATACAGACTGAACTTCAACAAATGCAGCAGCAAAAGATATTAATTTAACAATTAGTTAATTTTTTTTTTTGTTAATAAAGGTTACTGATATGGGAATTACTTAACTTCCCACTTACTCACTGAAATAGCACTTACTTTTCTTCCACAATGTTTCAGTACTTATATGAGACAGAATTATACAATTTATACATATTATCACAACCTTTAAATTTTCCATGTTTGCTTCAGTTCCAAACAAGTTTCATACACAGCTGATACACTGAGAAGTATTAAACTGCTTATACAAAAATTGTTGCACTGCCAACTGGAAAAAATGCCATAGTTTTGATTTCCAAATTAACATAAGCTTCCAGGTCATAATATTTACAGAAGCTGTGACCCAACAGGGCCAGAATTCTCACTCCTAAATAGCTTCCATGAGGTTTCAGACGCCAGAAAAAAAAACCCTGCAGTGGGCTACAGGCAAATTTCAGTGCTCTAGAGCTGCACAGGCTTGGAGTAATTGACCTCACATTTTTCCCACCTCCCAGATCTTGATAGGGTCTCATGAGGTCAAAAGTGGAAGTAGCTGGGAGCCCAGAATACTCTAAGGATCCTGAGATACCCCACAACCCACAAGCAGCCAAGGTCCCCTGCTGGAAATCAAGGCTCCACCAGTGTCCAGTCTTTGCCTGGGTCATGCAACAGAAAGCTCCCCAAATGCCCTCTTCATTCAATACAGTATTACATTTTTGATAATTTAGTTTAGCATGGGAAAAAATTCTGAGACACTGGAAAATTATCTGTTTTTAGAGGCTGCACTAATTCAGACACATTCCTAAGTATTTGGTTGCACACAATTAAGATTACATGTGACTTCTAGCAATTGAAAATAGTAGTTGAAGAATGGAGTAAATAATTGTGGCAAAATTCCAATCAAGGCCCAAGAAAAATTTCCAAGTCTGGTTATACTCAGAATATATCTGTTCAGATAAAGCATTCTCTTAACCATTTGGCCCATGTCTTGTACACATCAGCCTAATGTAATAACTGTAAAAAAAAATAATTCCAAAGTAGTATGGGAACCAAAAGGGATCCATTAACTGAAATATTACATAAATTCGAAATACAGGGATGTTACTAATGATGACACACAAGCCAGGAATACTCAGTTTTACTCATGTCCCAGGTGAGTTTCCAAGACTTGTGTTTAAAATTATTTAAGCAAATTTTAAACCGTAACACGTAACATCTCCCTTTAGGGAAGGGCGGGTATCATTGGGCTGATGTGCAATAGAGGCTGATGGGAGGAGCTGCTGGCAAGTTCCTGAGTAAGAAGAGAGAGCAAGGCAGTGAAAGAGGCTAGGATGAGCCGTGGTGGCTCCCTCCCGTGCAGGGGGCCGCGGTACCTGTGCGCGAGTAGATGAACCAGAGCGCTCCAGTCAGCAGGGCTCCGATGACGAACGCGGCGAAGGCGATGCCCACCACCGTCAGCGTGTCCAGCCCGTACAGCACCGCTGCTCAGGGAAACACACACACAGGCACTGCTTATTTCACAGGCAGAAATCCCACAGAAATTCACCCCCACGCTTGCATGGAAGAGCTTTTTGAAATTTCATAGTTAACTAAGCACCGCTTTGAGAAACAGACTCGCAGATTTGCATCAAGGAAATGAAAGTGATGCTTTCAGAGTGGCTTCAGTCCAACCAACTTTTCCACATCACAAAGTAAAACTCCATCTCAGCACACCCAAGTCTGGAAAATGTTGCAAAAACTAAGCATTTTTGGTTGACTGTTAATAACTTGCTTTCAATTAAGTATTCATTTATCTTTAAAGTGCGTTTTAAAAAGGCTGAAATGTTTGGCAGAAATGCTTTTCATTTAAAGGGCCTAACATTCAGACAAACTTTCCCCTACATCTCCTCAAGTTCAGTATGAAATCTAGGTGGAGAACGGAACTGCTGTTAAGAGGAAAGAGATGCCAGCAAAAAGTCAGCGAAAACATAAATAGAAACAATTGTTTTTCACATTTGGCAACACTTTCAATAACTGAAATTAATTCCAGATCACAAAAATAGAAGCACACACACGTAAATCACTTTCTAGGGGAGAGGCCCTTTTGTAGGACCATTTCAAGGGTAACAGCATTTGGTTCCTGGAGGTATTGTTCTCCAGTGTTAATCATCCAAACAGAAATATTTTTGGCCTCTGTGTTTTTATTTTTGATAATTAGAAATACTAAAAAATTTAATAATCATTCTGCAATCTTTTAGGGAAATTTCTTCTTAAAAAACTGATTTCTAGTTTTAGTATTTTTAATATCTCCCAGTGCAAAAAATTGCTTAGTCCAAGGAATAACATTTTACTGACTATGCTGGCCAGGAAATGAGCTGACTGGATCTTAGTAGGATCCTTCAGTGGAATTTTCAGTTCTCAGGACACAACCAACACCCTCACTTTACTCATCCTGCATCCAGTAGATGCCCCTAAGGACATCCCTCATCCTCTTTTGACAAAAGGCTTCTCCAGCAGCTCCTGTTGGCAAGGGCCTTCAGGACCCATTCCTGGGTATTTGTGACCTAGTTTGCATATACAACACCTCACAGATAGTGTCTTAGAAGGTTTTTCTTTCATTTTTTCTATGAGACTTTTTCTGGTTCCTTTGGCTACTTCTAGTCATTCAAATGCAAACACAACAGACTATACTCAACAGTTTTTTCCACCAGGCACCAGTCAGTGTCCTCTCCTCTTATGAGGAAACACAGTGGAGAGAAGAAAGTTGCATGGAGAAGTGGCAGAAGCATAATTGCTCACCACCTTTGCTATTTTGACCAAGTTTAGTCTTGAAGACACAGGGACAGGAGCAGAAGAAAAACCTTCTTTGCACTGCTCTTTAAATCTCCCTTTTCTCCATTCATTCTTGCTTTTGGCTACACATCATCTGCACCTTCCTGTTTATTTTCTTCTAGTGCTGCTTCTCTCCTCTTCTGGGTCACTAATGAACCCTAATTCATTCAGTACACCAAGATAACATGGAAACCAAAGAAATGAATCCATATCAAGGCAGTGATCTCATCTAAGCATGGCCTGTACGTGCTGGTGCTGGAGCACCTGGGGCTGTGGTGCAGGACAGGAGTGAGGCTCAAACAGGACACAGGTAGGGCACAGAAGCTCTGAGGGATGGCACTGCTGCTCTAACTCTGCTCTTGGGAAGCAGGGGCCTCAGCAGAGGGGGGAAGTAACACACACACACCAACACATGAACTTCTAGGGCTGAGACTCTCAGTGGTGTTTCCCCAAACCTGATTTTCACATACACAAAAGGTCAAAGTCCTCCCCTGAACACGGATGGGAACCTCTCAATCAACAATACAGCCAGAATTCTGTTCTGTCTCTGAATTAAACATGCACACACTCAGAAAGCTTGAAGAGAATTTTCTTAACTTATCAAATGCTTTGTAGATAAACGTGTAAGGATGAAAAGAGATTGTTTTAAGAGTTACTTACGTGGCTGTCTCACGTTTGGCTTTGGAAGGGACGGATCTAATTTAAAACAAAGAAAATGCACAAAACATCAATCAGATAGAGTTCCACATGCAGCCTACAAACTATGCAGGTTCTGATCTGACAGAAAGGCATTACCTGTAATTTTAACAAACCATGAATTTCAATAAAAGCAGACCAAATTCAGTAATCTCACTCATCTCAGAAAAATTCTTTTCATATATTAATTATTCCTCAAGGGACTCTATCTACAGTATAGTTCATGCACTGTATATTTTGCTGGCAAATACACTGCAACCTTTCCCAAATCAGATGTCATCAGGCATGACCCACAGTAACTCTGGTTACCCCTCTGTGGAACTCCTAAATTTCACAGATTGTGAAGGAACAAAGATTGTGTTAAGGTGATTACATTCATCTGACCTCTTACTAATCATGACATACCAGCACTGAATCACACACTCACACAAAATCACACACTCATAAAATAGTGAGTTTTATAGCACAATACATACTGCTTTGTCCAAATTGCATGAATATGCGTTGATTCATCCATTTTCCTGAGTCCTACATAGTATTCAGTCTTGGAAGTTCTAAGTTGCGTGGGTTTGGTGTTTTTGTTTTTTTTTTGTTTGTTTGTTTGTTCTTCCTTTTTGTTGTTTATTTCAGGGGGAGGGGGAAGTTAAAAAATTTATATATAAGAAATAAAAGTTCATAGGTATTGTTCAAAGATCAAAGATATTATTTTAGGCAAGAATATCAAATATCATCATCCTAGTGATAAAGATATCACCCCATAACAGAAAGAGATAAGTAAATGTTTAAAAAATGAAGAATTTCCCCTCCTTTTTCTTAACTACCCTCTCTTATCGTTCTCCAAGAATGCCACTTCAAGCAGAAGAGCTAGAGATTCTGGCTTCAGGGACCTGTTTGGTTAGCTGCAGCTTGATTCTGGATTGCCCAGCAACTCAGGGATTTCATTTATATTCTGGCATATCTGAGTGTGATCAGTGCAACAGATGCAGAAGGATTTGATAAGACTGTATTTCAGTACTTGGTTTTGTATCTTCAGCAAATGGAAAATATAGTTTGATTCATTTCAATGCAAGCATAACAGCCCAATAATACTGAAAATAAATATATTCATTTATTTAAAGTGTTCTTAAATAAGACTATGCTTCTAACTTCTAAAACCCAGATGGCAGCACCAAACTTCCAGCAATATCCTTTAGACCATTAGGCCCTGAGAGACATGTGCCTACAAAACCCAAAAAGCATTTTATCCTTAAACTGTGTTATTGTGTCTTGTTCTAACACACGAGTATCTCTTGCAGATCCCTTTTGGCAGATGGTCCAAAACAGGTGGAACAGTAGTAGGAAACAGGTGAGGACAGAGGGTGTGTGGGGTAGTATATGCACAAATAATCCGCAAAGTTATCAAGTGCTCATAACAGCAACAATATAACAATGTAAGATCTGCAAGGAAGGCTGGACTGAAACTGTAAAGTACAAACATGGGTAAAGGCACTGTCAGATTGTCCAAACACTCCACTGGCATATCCCAAGTGCCAAGAAAATGCCTTCTGAGCTGAGGGGAAAATGAATTTTCCATACTATTTCTATCACTGGCCTCTCCACAGAGAAAATGAAATCAGCTAATGATAAGCTGTGTAGCTCATTATCAATTCTCTTCAGACATCCAGTTCTTAAATGTGTTTTATTGTGATTTGCTCAGAGCAACTCAGTGAGAATCACTGAGGTCTACAAAAACCATCTAATTTAAAAACAAGGGCTGCCAGCCTTTAGAATTATCAACATTTCCTATATCTTTGTAGGATAGAGGCACTTGTTAATTATCCTTTTGACCTTCTTTCTATGACCTGTCTGGTTTTGGTGTAGAAATAATAATCTAAAGTTTCCACACTTAGCAAAAATCTGAACAACACTGGTAGATTATTTCAACAGAACATGTATTTCCTACCATATAAATGGCCATCCATGTGCCTTTCATGGCAGTGGGACAGAGCATGGGGAAATGCAGGAATGCAAAGGGAATGTATGTGGCATGGAGTTAGGTTTTAATCATCTCCATTGGGATCTACTGCAAATTCTCTTTCAGATATAGCATTGTGATTTCTAATAGAGGCAATGACAGTTATAAGCTTGTCTGAATAAAAAAAAAAACCACCTTTGCAATGACCAGTTTGTTCTGACTTTTGAAATGTCAAGCCCATGACTTTCACATGTGGCTTGATAAGGAGAACCAGGGGCAGTACCTCACATAGAGTGGTTTGAAATAGTAAAAGCTGGTTCTGTTTACATCAAAGAAAATTTACCTCTGGGAGGTAAATTCTCCTGTTCATTAATGTGATATAATTTCTTCTCCAAATCTTATGTTCATGTATTGGCCAACAATGGCATTTGGCTTTAAGAAAGAGGTTTTGATTCACTGCAGAACTGCATACCAACAAAGCTACATTGTTCATGTGCCACTTTGTATTTTGTCTGAAAGCTGGGATATGCTGGGGAGATTTCCACCAAGAGTCCTACAATTATACCAAATCACCCACAATGCAACAAAATACTCTATCACACTGTTGTCCTGTAAGTAATCTTTATAAATTTAGCTTGTCTTTGCACACTGAGACCTTGTGCCTCTGACAAAGACAACATTCTGAGTGGAGCCTGAGATGGGAGCTGTGCACAATGCTCCACACATCATAAGGACAAGAGAGCTGAAGTACGAGTCTGTTTAGTGAAAGACGAATTTCAGTTGCAGGATTTACCCATTCCCAATAGAAAATCTATTGAAATAATATGAGAGCTGAGCAAAATGGGAGTCCAGAATCAGGCCCAAAGCATAGTTTTAATGGTAACAGCAACAGATCAAATACTTGACTTTAAGTCATACTGGATTTGGTCTGTATTAACAATTTTGTTAAAAACCCTCCGAACTAAATATGAGCTGACTTGCAGAGTTAGACAGAAACAGTTGTTGTCTATGTCCCCTAGCAATGCTGTATTTGAACTTTAAATTGTTCAAAGACTAACAGCATGCACTGTAAAACAGAGATTAAATGACTCCTGATCACCACCCTTTTGATGCTCCCTGAAAAGCATTCCAGAGGTCAAACAGCCTTTGGACACCACTGGAAGATTTTGATGTGTATGGGAAGCCACTGAAGCTTCTTATGAAATGTCAATGCAAATACAAAAATAAAAGATAAATGAACATATTTTCTTCCAGGACTGCATCAAAACATGACTGATGCTCTTGTCAGAGTGATCTACTAAGAAAAACTGATTAATTAAATGAAACTGAGAACAGTTCTTACTTCTCATCACTCACAGGGCATATTCTTAAACTAGAATAAGGTCCCATCATGTTGTTTTGCATTATCTCATAATGCCAACCTTCAGCCTCTCCAACTCCTTCAACCAGTTACTAACCACACTCTTTTTTTTTTGCCAAGACAGATTACATAATCAAACAAGTCCCACTAAAGTGGAGCCCCTTTGTGCATACTATCCTTTGCTCTTCATAGTTCCAAGAATGTAGTGAGTCTCCAGGGGCCACCTCTTTGCCTTACAAACTTGTCAGGCTTTAAGATCCTCAATACTTTGTGATTCTATTGCTATTATTCATAAATTGATATTTACAAGCACAATAAATAAAAGGACACAGCAGGGAGCACAGGACTGCCTTTGATCTCTGGGCAACAAGAAATTGCTCCAAATGCTACTGCTACATTCATACTTCCAAAACCCATGTTATTCTGTACTACTTTGAGTATTCCTCTCTCAATGTTCAGCAAACCCACACGTCCAGAGAACAGTAACATGATTAAAAAATGGCTGTGACTTGGCCTGATGACTGCTGCCAGGGAAATGTCCTAACAAGTAACATCTTACAGACAAAGCACCAGCACAAGATTATACAGTGTCACATGCTCCCTCATTTCAAGTGACTCTATGTTACACAATATTCTATATATATATAGCATTATTAAACAGGTCAAGCTCATTTTTATACCTTCTTGTTTTCCTTCATGTGTTATTACAACAAGGGGCTTGGTGAAAGTTTTCTTGTTGTGCATCATGGCCAGGATCATATCCACATTGAGAGAGGTGCAAGCTTCATCAGGAGGAATGCACTGGAGTGCAAAGAACAGAGGTCAGAGTCACCCATCTGCCAGTGGCACAGCTGCCTCATAATCAGTTTACCCTACACAATTTACCAAAAAATGAGAACCTCCAAACAACCTTATCTTTTGTAGCAATGAGATTACAGTATTATCTAACATGGTGCATGTCTTTGGAAATTAAAGCTTACATTGTTTGTGCTTTGGATATGCATTGAAAAGATAAACTTGAACCACTTGTGCAATAAAAAGCAATTTCTATTTGTAGCCACCTAAAGAAATTTAAGCAGCAACTGCAAATTATGTAGTCAAAATGCACAGTATAATAACTCTTATCTACTAAAACTCTGAGCCTAGAGATATCATGTTCATTAGACAATTCCACAGAAAACTATGTATTACCTTCAGAGTTCAGATGAAAAAATACACTGGTTTTATCTAAATCAGAAGTTTTGATAAATTACATTAATTACTGACCTTTGGAAGTCCTTGAGTATCTTTGTCTTTATTTGTACACAAAGTCAGCTCGCAGTGAAGAAAGAGCAGTGAGATGTTGAACATCGGTTTGAACACAAAGCTAAATCTTTTTCTATCCTTCTGTGCATGTGGTATTGGAAAATTCTTTTTCTCAATACTGTAGAATTTAACAGATTCATCTTTAGGACAAATGTTTTCTATAATGGTATAGTCAGACATTCTATCTGGATTTGAAAACGGGGAAATAAAGCACGTTTGAATAGCAAAGCCCAACGATCTGTCAGCTTTAGTCACAGACACCTGCATTAAAGAAAGAGACAGTAAGATCTCAGAAATGACATTTTTAGTTCACATTTCATTAATATTTTCAACAATTTTTTAAGCAGTTTTCCAGTGCCATTTCCAATCTGAAGTATTTTGAAGGCTAAATGTTAAGGATAAACTGTCAAACTGAGAGACAGAAAATCTGTGGTTTCAAAACCAGCAGCTGTTTAATAGCATAACCATGCATAAATACAGCAATCCCTTATCTTTCTAAAAGCAGATGAACCCCCCCCAGATAAGACACACAGTAATGTCTGTGTCTGCCACCTGAGATGGCACTGCCTCCCTTAGACACACAGGCTATAACAGACCTGTATGCAAATCAATCACTAATTCTATGGTTTTGTATCTGTTCAAAATTATAATGAAAATAGGGAAAAAAAAAAAAAAAGCAACAGACACAACAGAGAATCCACCCCCAGCCAAGAGAGGAATGCAAAGGCAGAGAGGAGGTCATGGTCTGATGTGTGGGTGGCATTCCTGGGCTGGAGGGGGTGAGGGAGCCTCCTAAAAAGCCGACATTTCTTCTGAAAGGATCCTTTTAGCTTATTGTAAGTTTGAAATTCATATTCTTTTATGAAAAATAATTAAGACTGAAAGCCTCCAGTGCCCTGATGTTGCTCAGCTGGATTGGAATGCAGACAATAAATGCTACAGAATAATTCAAAGGAAAAAATAAATGGAACTTGTAACAAATGAGGCATGTTGCTCTTAATAAGCAACAGAAGCATTTATCCAACCATTAACACTGCCCAATGAAACAGTTCCACAAGAAATCTTCTTAGAAGAAATGTGCCTTATATGCATATTTAATCCATATGTGCTGCATGTATCTTTAAGGAAGAGCCTGCCAAATTGTGTGGTCTGTGCAGTAATTTCTGGATGCTAGGAGTTTTGCTGTGAATAAAAGCATTTCTCCTTTTTTCTCTCCCTTATGTGAGCAGCAATCAAATTAGAGATGAAGGAATGTGCTGAAGCATCTAAGCAAGAAAGATTATCTTCTAAAAAGAACAGAAATAAAGATGGATGAACAAAAGTCAGCCACAGATACTGACAGGAAACAAGCTGATGGTGTAAACTAATTAAGAAATAGATTATGGAAAGTAGGACAGGCATACTACAGTTAATTAAATAAAAAGATGAATGATATCTCAAGGAAAGAAAAGAAACACAGGAGGAAGATGGAAGATCAAAACATGGTAAGAAAACAACAGCAGAGAAGAAAGAATAAAATTCCAGAATCCAAAAGATTCAAACAAAAAAAAACTCCTTACCAAACAAGGACAACGGAGATATAGAATTTTTACCAAATATGTATTTATCAAAACCCAAAAATATTTTTCTTAGTAACAAATGCAAAAGAGAAACAAAAAAGAGGGAAAAAACCCCAGAGTCATCTTAAAAAATGGAGTCACTGAAGTTCAAAACTGATATGTTTTCCACTGTGCAAGCAAGAAAAACAGAATAAAAAGGCTTTTGCCAGGAAAGGTGATGAAGAAATCAGAACATCTGTCTGAATAAACAGCTCCAGCAGGCTCAGAGTCAGGGGGATTCATCCCAGATCAGTGAAGGAAGTGGATGGTTTTAAGTGTTTGTTATAAAAATATTCTTAACTGAGTGTAACAGACTTTATTTTTGCTTTAGCTGTCTTAAGTACTTTCCACTGGGTAGAGAAAAAATAAATGAGAAAGGACACTGAAATAATGAAGAAAACTGTACCAAATGGGTCACTGTGCTTATCATGTGCAACATGGGTTCCCAAAGAACTGACTTGGGCAAGAGAAACACAGCACAGCACTGCTGCTTTTTCCTGGTCTTACAACCCCATAGCTCACACCTTATGATTCACTTGCCTAGAAACTGGCAATACTTCTTCATTGCCAAAGGTGCATTTATTAATGGCTACCACTGTTTGAAAATCCAAAATTCTGTTCACATAGCTATCTTTAAAAATACTGACTGTATTGGTGTGAAACTCCACACCAATTCCACAGATTTCATAAGCAACTCAGCAACACATGGAAATATTGTGCAAAACATACCCGAAGTCAAAGGTACCCAGCTGTTGATTTTGTTTCAGTGTTATTTACCTAAATCTGCTAGATCTCTTATGTGGCAGCATTCAAAAGGATTATAACTGATGTTTTTAAGCAGACTGGAGAGAGACCACAATTTGTATTGACTGTGTAACCTGAGAACACTAGCATATGAAAGACACACATTTGTAATAATTTTTTGCATGTCTACTACATCTTTCAGACAAGGTTCAGACACACACAATAAAATGAATCCATCAGGACATGCCAGTTCAGAGCACAAGTTCAGAAACCATATTAAAGTTTGGTATGGAAAAGTAGATTTAGAAAGAATCACCAATCTATCTATTAAGTTAAATTCATCCATTTTGCAAGAATCCTTTGGGTTTTTTACCCAAAATATTGTCCTACTTCTTATCCCTCAGTTTCTGTTCTCTGCAGGCATCAGAGAGGCCTGAAACAGCTGCCCAACAAAACCTTTCAACTGACAAGAACAGATTTGGCTCAGTTGCACAGCCTTGCAAAACCCTTCTGCTAATTTGAAGTCGTTTTCAGTTTGTTACCTCTACATATACTGGCCCATTCTTGCCAACAGAGAAGAGTCCTTGGGAGGGAGCAAGGAATAAATCTGTTTTGTACAGATCCATGTTGAAGGTGACATTTGTGATGTGAGGTTCAGGAGGCCAGAAAATGCCTTTGTCATCCTCTGGCTGGTGCAGTGTGCAGTTAAACTAAAATGAGAAAAAAATACAGTAACATCGCGAGTCAGGAGTGGTGGGACACATTTCTTATGTACAATATAGGCCCACCCACGCTACATCTACTTAGTGCAAATCTTCAACAGGGTCATGAGAAACAGTAGTGAGAAGAAATGTGTTAAAAGACAAATGAATTTCTAGACAATTACTATAATTCATGTGAAAGGCCTATTACAGTAGGTATTTGTTCATTGCCAGGTGCAAAACCGAGGGTAACATACCGCTATTTCAGGCCAGCTGGAGAAAGGCACCTCTCCCTCATCAGCATCCCCTGGAAATCCATTATCACCTGATTCCATGTCCTCATCTTCAAAGCCACTGCCTTCAGCTGGTGCTGATAGCTGAATGACAATCTGCACAGAGAGGGATTGCAAACAAATTAGATTAGGTGATAACCCAGCACTCTCATGCTTGTTATTTTTTGCTCTCTTCAGAACAATGCAAAGGCCACAAGAAGAGCACCAGCTAAGCAAACGGTGAAAGCATGTCTTGAACAGCCTTGTGCTGAGCATGTAGGATATGCAGCTTATAATTAAAGAATGCCTGAGTTTTTTTTCCAGATTTCAGAGCCAGTGAAGAAGGACACCAGTCTGGGTGTTGGTGTCTGAATGAGCAGCCCAGCATTTCCATTCTATTTCTAGTATTTCTATAGCCAACACTGAAAAAAGAAATGGCTTTCTAAAGTGATACTTTGCTACTATCAGTTCTCCTTTGTGTACTTGTAAAAAAATCACTAAAAATGTTAGAGTCACTACAGAATTTTCTCTTCTGTCATCAGCAATTTTTCTTCAGACATGTACACCCAAAACCATAATATTACTTCCTCATTTTCCTCCCACTTTTTTCACTGAATTCTCTCATCCTTTTTTTTTTTTTAATCATCCTTTTCATACGTCTTCATTTCTTCACCTGGAAATTTATAGTTATGTTTTCCAGTGTTCTGCATTCTGCCTCTTTATGCTTGCAGCTTCTCAGCTAGTTTCTTCCCTCTCAGGATTTCAACTTTGTTTTCTTAGACTTAGAGCAACTGCTAAAAAATGACATAGGCACACCCTTTGACACTCCACTGCAGGGTGTCTGCATTTTAGGAGAAACGCTCCCAAATTCTGAACAATCCCATACCTCATTGGGAGTTCAAGTTTATAGCCAGGACTATTAAAAGACATGATGGAGAAAGGAGAGGAGGCAAATAACCACTTTAATTTGGGCCATAATAGAATACAGGGACCATGAGAGTGTTTATCTCCAGACCCGTGCTCTTCTGTCATTTGCTGAAGATTCTGTCTTGGTTTGGGACTATTTCTAAAGTTAGGTGCTACTGACTCCCCAGCACAGAACAGTTTTAACCAGGCAAGGTCAGATCAGATTGCCTGAGCTGTGTTTGGGTTGGACCACAGGCTTTCCATCATTTGCCAAAATTACTCCTATGTACTGGAAAGCTCAGCGAGAGAAAAGTGTCATTACTTTTGAACCCAGAATATCTGCACTGTACTCTGGCTCATAAGCTGAGCCAATCTGGAAGCAGTTGATTACAACCTAACTGGGCTCCTTTGTATCATCACTCATATACAAGTACTCAAGAGTCCCTTCATTACGTATAGCAACTGCTAAAAAAATATAAATTCAAATTGTAAGAGAAAAGCATGTAAAAATAATGTCGTTGCCTCACATTTTAAAAGCCTTTTTTTCACACACAATTTTAGAAGAAAGACTTCACTTAATTCAGGGTATGAATTTAAAGGTAGTGCTCTGTGCAATTACAAAACTTCACTCCTATTTCTCTTTACAGCAATGTATTACTGTTTATGTATGGATGATCAAAGCTGCACAGGGAACACCAGTGCAACTTCTCCCAGACTGGTACAGATGGTCCCCAAAGAGCAGCTATGTTGTAAAATGTATTTAACTCCAACTCCTCTGTTTTCCTTTGGGATACTATCTGACCACTGGAGCATACTGAATATGCAGCCTTCCTACCTCCTTGAATACAGGGACTGTGGCTGCAACTGAGCTAGGCAGGAAGGATCAGGATGCCTCCCTTTTGCTAAGACTAAAGCTAACTGCAATGGCTTCCCTGTACTACTACAATGTGCAGTACAGAGGGTGGATGCTCTTTGTGAGTACTCACAGAGTTAAAATAGACAATCTTGTTGAAGATGTACGCTGTCCGAGTGCCGCACTTGTTGAGTGAGGACTCCAGGATGAAGTGGGTGCCGTTCATGCTGGCTTTGCAGGAGTGGTCCAGCAGCGAGAGCTCGGTGCGGGCGTGGCCGCCGGCCTGGAACAAAGGAGCTTTGTCAGGGCTGAGCAGCACTGGGCTCCTCTGAATGCAGCTCAGCACTGCCTGGCTGCTGCAAGGGAAGCTCATTGTGCTGACAGCCAGGCAAGGGCACTCTCAAAATGCTCGCACACATGGCACGCAAGGAATAAATGTAACATGGAAAAAATGGAAACAACAGGTTCATTATTAATCTGCTGATTAATAATGCTGACTCTGTTTGTACTGAAATGAGCTAAAATGCCGTTTCAGGCTCTTTTCCACAATACAAATGGACACAAGCAACCTATCAGCTGGTAGATGGTAAAGACAGATCTTTACATCTGTTTAGGTCTCACACTGCTCCCAAAAGCAGCTTCTTTGGAAATTAAAAACTCAGACTAATGGTTGAGTACTGTAATTTTTTGAAAACCAACCATGCACACCTTCAATCAGAAATCCCTCTAAAAACCACCAGATTGCTGGGAAGAGAAAACACTATCCTGAGTTATGGCAAGGAAGATCCACAGTATAGTTTCCTCACTAAACTATTTTGGGGGGGTTATGTGGTGATGGCTATAGGACTTTGAATGTTTATTTTTTCAATCAAAATGCAAATAAAATGGGCTGTCCAAAAAAGCCTCCCCAGTTCTGAGAATAAGATGTTATACCAACCTGTAGAGAATCTTTTTCTACAGCTACTGTCATAACTTTGTCATCACACTTTATTGACAGGGCCATATCAGCACTGCCCTGAACTTCTTCAGGTTCTTTGTGTTTTGAGAGGGAATGCCCGAAGTCATGATTTATTAATGCATCTACTGAATGCCTGGATGGGAAGATTTCTTCTCCCACTGTGTCATGTCTTCCTCTGTTAATGTGAAATGGAAAAGTCAGGCCATCAGTATTCTTTGGAACTGGCAGTGGGTTAGCACCCAGCAATTCTGTCAGCTCTGGAGGAAGGGAATGGTCTTCTTCATCATTCATCTCTTCTAAAAAAAAAAACACAAAACCAAACAAATCCACATTAGTTTGGTAGATATTTTTCTGAAAAACTATCCTGAACTAATAACTTCCATACAAAAAAAAGATTATTCATAAAGGGAGCTCCTAAGGCCATTAAAAGCAGCATCTTTGCACTTGTCAGGTAGGCAGTCACAACTCCTACAAATAAGAGTTTAGTTGTTACTGAGGCATCTAATCTTGGTGTACTTAACCCCTGTCAGAAATGTCTCTCACCAAGAGCTGAAAATAAACTTTTGATGAGTGGACCTATTATATGTAAAAGATCCAGCAAGATAAAAGAAACATCACATTCATCAAATATAATATTTTGGTACTGCTGAAAGAGCCTAAGTGCAAATCATTAGGTGAAATTCTTCCACTACCTGGTCCATCAGAAATTCAGTCACTACTGTTGTGAAACTACTTATATAAGCAGAATGAAGCTAAATAAGAGTTAACTTTAGAGTGAGTAAATGAGGAAACTATATCTCAGCTTATACACGTGACTGCTGAGGACAGAGCCCATGAGAGTGCAATTGATGACATGAATGTGAACATAGCTTTATCAAAATTGTAAACCAATAGTTTTAGTGGTTGAAACTCAGAATTAGTGAGAAAACAGATGCTACTCTGCTAGCTTCAATGGACACACATCAGCAATTACTTTGGCCAAATACCCATTCCTTTTTCAATAGTTGTATTTATTCTGTTTGCTCAGACTTTTTTGGTAAGCCACTCATGTCTGTAAACAGTTTCAATGTTTATTTAATCGTCTCAAGGAAACACTATGCTCATACTTTTGGAAAAAAACACACTAAAAAAAAAATCAAAGCTGGATTTATCAACTAACAAGATATCCAGTTGCTGATATCTATTTCAGTGAACACTGGGTACCATCAGCTATGAAGTCTTGGGCATTGGATAAACTATAAACATTTAATTTCACCAAATTTCAGGAAATATCACAACTTTGCCTGAACTTTTCTAATCAAAAAGCCACAGATTATTACTGGCAACCATCATGCATAGATATTACCAGCATTCTTAATGACAAGCAGTAAAGGAAGTGCAATAGCCAAAACCAAAGCTTCAAAACTGAAAAAATATCATTTAAGTAACTGTATTCCTAAAAACACAAGATATGCTTTTTCTGTATGCTAAAAGTTCATCTTCAAACTTACCTATATCTTCAAGTTGCAGATGAAATCTGTTAGCAACAGGTGCTTTTGTGTAGGAAATAACTGGACTGTAATTATGCTCATAAGCCCACTTGATCAAACTCTCATGTGATGAGGGAAGGTCAGGTATAACTGATTTACTCATAGTCATGGATCGTTCTGTTTCTTTTCCAAAACCAATACTATTTGATGTCTGTAAATAAAGAAAAACCTGGTTTTTTATTTACCACTTAAGGATAATTACAATGGAATAGTGACACTGATTGAACCTTGGTCTTTTATTCTGTTTTAAACTACTAAGTAACAGCAAACTGAGGACACCTGGGAAATAAAGCAAACCCTGCCACCTTAAGCACATAACAGCTGCACAGATGGAAAAGAACTCCCTGCTTCCTCTCAGCCTCTGCCTGGAGTACAGTAAATCAAGGCAATCAGAAACTGTTCATCCCTAACCGAGACAGAGACATATTTACAGCCTTTTGTATAAGGCCATACTTGCTTCAAAACTGATCTGAAATTACTCCTGAACTCAAGATGACAAATGAATTTTCAAATGTCTCTTAATTTCTTGGATTAGAGCATGACTTAAGCTGGATAAAGGAAAACCTTTGTTCAAATGAGCATTACTGAAAAAGGCAAAAAGCATGCTCATGAAGCAGAGCTGATAGCAGCTAATGCTGTAAGTCAGCTGGCACCAAGGACAGGCTGTGTCTGAAATGAGCTTCACCCTAGAAATGCTGTGTGCCTTCTCCAAAGTAGAGTTTGTTAAACACAATTGAACTAAACACTCAACAGAGCAGTAAGTGAGAGCATGCACATTTATGCATGGCCAGACTACATAAAAAACATTTACTTTCTGTAAATGAAAAGATTTTAAAATTAATTAACAATGCAAATTTTACACAAATACATCAATACAGCAAACTCATAAATGCACATGCTGACCTTATGAATGAACATGCTAAATTATTAAATGAATAAATGAGCCATACAACAACTTAATTTTCATTTTCCTGTAAATGTTTTGTGAAATTTCAAATTTTTTTGTCCCAACGGGCAAATCAAAGAAATATAACAAGTATCTCTCACTGTTAGAGAGGCAGTTTGAAAATATTCACTCGTATTACACAAACATGTATTCAGCAGCTTGACATCGTTAACATGTATTCATTCACACCAAAGCTGAATACATATATATTTATTCTTACAGTTATAGCATTACTATTATCACTGTAACAATCACATCAATGGCTGCAGAACAAGCTGAACATAGATACAGCAGCAAAGGCATGATGACCCACTTTTCAGTCATTCCTGCAATGTGATTGAAATGCACTTTCTAATGCAGCTGATACCATGGAATGTTCCACAAACACCTTCATTACCATGCTTGATTACCTTCTCCATCATATAGACTGCATCTTCTTTTCATCCCCACTGGTTTTTCCTCAATGTGAACAAATCTTAAATCTTTCACTCTGGAACACCAGAAGATTGACTAGGGAGATCTCTCTTAGTGCTCCTATGGACATGCTACACAGGTCAGAGGGCTCAGCTGTACTTCCCTACCTGACATCAAAGTGAGTTATTGAACTAAGAAGTGAATAAAGCATGCAGAGAGCCCTGATAGAATGGCATAATGTACCTTTAGCTCCCTCCCTCATTTCTTCCTAAGGACCCAGTTCTGCAGCCTTTAAACACTTGGGGCTTCACAACTGAAGTTAAAGATAACTAAGTACAGAGCACCTGGTTTGAGGATACTGTTACCAGAGCAGTTATCAATGCTCAGCAAAGGTCACTGAAGATAAGAAGAAAAATGGAGCAACAGGTATCCTAATTTTAATGCCTCATGACTCTTTGGGATCAACTAATCTTTGATCTTCAACAAGGTGCAAAACTGGACACAACTGATCATGTATTTTCATATTACCACACAGCTTTGACTGGTAGGAGTTATTATGCTAACCCAACTTTGCTGCATCTCTTTACTTTTCTGTCACAAGGAGACAGCTGAACAAATATTATCTCAGAACTTTACTGTCCTAGCTGGCACCTGAACAATTCCAGGGCTTGTTTCCACCCCTCCACTCCACAGTGAGCCTGTAAATGTTCAGTCTTGCATTGCCCCACTGAAACAAAAGCAAGAACGAGGGCTGGCAGGAATAGACCTCCCTTCACTTGCCTCCCCTGCCTCACACACAGTGACTGAAACCAGGCAATCTGAGCCCCCAGCTGTCTGTCAGAACAGACACCATTTCAGGTAAGCAACCATCCCTCCAGGCTTCTGAAACCCTCAAGGGTTTGTTCTGTGCATTGCACCTCTCTACTCCTTGCCCATAAACTTATTTTCTTTCTGGAGCTTCACTGCACAGCTCCCAGCTTTGCAGAGGGACAGCAGCTGCAAAGGAAGCAATGTGAACAGCAGTGTACAAGCACAGAACCACACAAGCCCTGCATGTAAGGACTGCACACAGGAGTTAAACACAGCCCAGAAGAAAGCACTGCACACACATCAAGTGCAATTGATTTACCTAAAGTACTCCCATTTTCCTTGGGTTTGTGTCCATCCCCTTGCAGAGTTCCAAAAGACACAGCAAGCTGGGAGATGAGCTGTATGACTTAAAACATCTTTCTCATTTTTTGTCTGTGAACTTGGACCTCAGTAACTTACAGCACTGGGTTTGAGGCAGCTTACCACTAACCTTCCCCTCTCAGCTTGCCAATCCCCTCAAGACAATTCTAATTCGTAGTGAGGGCAAGAAGTTAGGAAAATTGAAGTGCATGGAACTGCTTCAACTAATAAAAAGAACATTGTGAAACATTACCTAATTGCTTAGTAATGTTTTTATGCATTGTCTAAATTTGGGCTTGGAAAGGCATTCAGCTTAATAGAGATATGAAAAGATGCTAAATGCTGGATTTACAGGCTTTTTAATGACATGGGGGAGTTTAGTTCCCTCCCTTACCCCCTCTAAATAAAGGAAAATAAACATATATTCAGAAAATGAAACATCTATATAAATGAAGTAGTAAACTAGTTACTGAAAATCCTAACATGAATCCAAAGTCTTTTAAATACTGAAATTTCCGTATGAATTTAATGTATTACTTTCTCTTTTCGTTAATCTAAATAAAATATTACTTTCTGCCACTCATTACAGAAACTACTTTTAATTATACTTTTTACTTATATTATCAATAACTAATAAAGAAGAAGTCTAAAAATAAAGTTTTTTAAGCAGTCTGCTTTTCTATATTCAAATGCAGCATTTTAGAAATTTTAAAAACCTGTAGAAATTGTCTTGTGAAAATTGACCATCCACAAAGTGACAGCTTTATGGACATGAAATACACCACGTGAGCTGTTTCCTAGCATGGTGTGAACTAAAGCACAATTCTGTCCTGTGAGAGTAGATCCATATATGCCCAAATATACAGTGGTGAATTTTATGTCATAACCTAGGATGAAACTTTGAAGTCAAGCCTTGTTTTCCGTCATTCTGCTTACAAGAGTGGTAATCCTCAACAACCAAACTTGACCTTTCTCTTTAAGGACTATTTCAGACCTACAGAATGACCAGAACATCCTCTCCTGTCTGTAAGATAAATGTGTCAGGGGTCAAGAGGGAACTTCATCATCCACCCTAGATAATTTTTCCATTAAATTTTCTGAGCAACACCAAAATTAGCTTTCCTTTAATTCCCTTCACTCTCCAAAGCTACTATGAAATCCTTAGTAATCTATTTTCTTGGGAGATTTAGATCAATTAGCCTTTGTATTCTGCCAGAATTTCCTCTGCACAGATTACAAGCAGAAAGCAACTAAGCAAAGGAAAATGGCTATAAATACCAAGAACTGGAGTTTGAAAATGTAACTGAATTGCTGCAAAATTGCTAATCATGAGGCTCATGGGTGGTCCTGAGAAAACATTCAGCTCAACTGTACAATGTGCTCTTAACTGATCACTTAATATGGAAATAGGCCACAGATTTATAGGCTGCAAGATCAGATCAATTATATTTACTTCAGAGCAAGGGAACACACATTTTCTTACTAGAAAGTGTGTTAAGCCACAAAGCCTGTACCAAAAATCAACATGAATCAGCATCTCTAGGAATTGAAGAAGTTTAACTTTAGAGAGTCTGGTTTTAACTTTAAAAAACAATTATTTTTTGCTGTCTGAGTAGAGTTAGGTCAGTTTGACCAAACACTTACTGGAGACAGAAGTACTGGCAGGGAAAGGGGTAGATACTACTGCAAGCACAAGCAGAAGTAAAGGAGTTTCCACTTCTAAAGGGATGTGGGTGTGTGCTGCATATCTAGTATTATCTATTCTTCACTTGAAGGCATTGTTCCAACCTCTGACATGAACCTGTTGATCCATACACCAAAGTAACAGCAAAAAGAGAAATGAACATCCTACTCTGTGTTTAGGATGCTTCAACAGATATCAAAAAGACACAGACAAAATCCTTGTTCTAACCACCTGGCTTCTGCAATGTGTTGTCAGTTTTACAGCCCATATACTGAAAGTTAATGAGAATAAAAAGTTTATGCATTTACTCCTTAAAATGCGGTAATTATTAAAAAGAAGCAGCTAAGAGAAAACATTCAGAAATCAACATGGTTTAGCACTATATCACATTTAAATGGATTCTATACTGTTGCATTACAATAGCTCACAAAAAATAAAGGTGCTTTAACTTACAATCACTTCCAGCTTTCCCTGGACATCATGAGACTTGATAACCCAATTGACAGACTTTCTGCACTTGAGGATAAGCACCACATCCCTGACAAGCCTGGCGCCTGGCTGAGATGGTTTAATGTCCACGATTATATCCACCTGGAGAGCACTGTATGGAAAATACAAAGTTAGAACAAAATGCCAGAAATTTTCAGCTATCAACCTTCTTCCAATCCATCATGTTTCCACTGTCTGGCCAGCTGATTAAAATGCTGGATATTATCCCGGGCAACACAACATGTGCAAAACAGATTGTTATTCCATATACACTTAAGTGATTTTGCATAACAATAAAAACAAGTACTTTTTGGGAAAAAAATATTTCTGTCTCTTATTTACAGGAAGTGTGCTACCCAATTCACCTATTATTTAGTGCAGGTAAGTGATATGGCTAGCAGGTTGCTTTCTAAAGTAAACACAATTTTCTTATTTCATTGTGACAGTGCCTAAATATAACTTTTTTAGTTTCCTCTGGCTATAACTGTACTAAAACTTAAAAAAAATACCTTAAAAAAAGTAAAGAAGACAAAGAGGTTAACATACATGCATAAAAAACCCAACCCAAACCACAAATACTGTACTGGGGGATGTCTCTGCCTAAACAGTTAAATTGTGGAATGACTTTGCTTCAGATCTTGCGTGCTTTGAGGAATTAAGCAGTGTATTCAGTTTCCACTACTTCTGGGTATATAGTTACTTTAAAAAGAAAAAAACCCAGATGTCCAGCCTACTGCTTACTGGAAAATAGATGAAAACTGTCCAGATTTTCAAGATCACAGTAAAATAAGTACAGCAAATGGGTTCTTACCCATCAATAACATCTCAACATGTGAAACACCAATTCAACAGAAAAACCTATACTTCCAGATCATCTTATGGGGCCATACATTATAAGAACATGCTCATCTCCATGTAATAGGTTCCAACTAATATTCTACACTGAGATTTCATGTATCTTGGGACTTTTGGTCCATCTCCTGCTGCTTTACACATGCCCAGCTCAGCTTCTGTATGTTTCTTTGGGGATTTAAACTTCACAAGGATAGCTGTGGGTAACACATAAAACTAAGAACAAAGTAATTTAGTATCTTTCTTTTTTTTTACTTTTAATAGCAAAACATTTAAACTTTTTGCCGTGTTATCATCTCAAAAGCAAATTCCTATTGTGCTATCATCCAAAGCCAAAAGCTTGGAACCAAGGCTGTCATTGTGTAGCACTACAAGGGACTTGGAAGGATGCTTAGCATCAGCTCTGTTCATGGGGCTGCATCAGCATTTGGGGCTACCAACTCCACTTCCACTACACTACCACTCCATTCCACCTCAACACTTTCTTACTCTCCTCAGGTTCTTATGCAAGAAAATGATCAGGTTCTGGGTTCAACATCTTGCAATGAGAATTATCCTTTTCACAAAAACACCTCCTCCCACCTCCATCTCCCTGTGTGGATTTCTCATTAGGGATAGGATGCACTCACATGCAGCTGCACGAGGAGCAGAACCAGACAATGCCAGATATCCAGTGAATGCAGTAAGCAGACAGGATTTTAATTCTACCTTATCTCTGATGAAATTGTAACCATCTAAGCTTCATAGCAAATTTCTGTTCTAGCAATCATACTTGGCCCTTAGTCACACTTGGAAAACCTCTTCCTATCTGAAGCACACCCCACTTATGTTCTCCCACAAAGATCTAGGAAAGACCAGTAAAAGATGAGTATTCTATATGTCTTACCCTTCCCCTTTGATGAAAACTATAATTCAAAATTTAGAAAATCTTCATAATGTGTATAGAGTTACTTTTCCTAGCCAGCAGTTAAAAAAATTTTAGTCAATGCATCACTATCAACCCTTAGCATTTCTCATAATTATCACATTATCCCTTAAACTCAACTGGAAACTTGACAGAAGATACTGTTGTGAATCTTCAGAGCAGCTGTGGAACACTTATCACAGAGCACACATCACTTGCAGCCTCTGGACACTGTTTGGGAGCCACTGTCCTACACCTTGCTGCCAGTCATCCCTGCCTGTGAAAAGTCAGGATTACTTTCTACCTCTGTCTCACCTCCTCACACAGTGGTCTAACCTTAAAACTTTTCTGTCAGATACTGCCCTTACTCATATTCCCTTATTCACCTTATCCCTGGAAAAATATGATTGATTGAGCAAAAAGGGGAGCAGTATACAGTCCATAAAAGCTGTGCTTTGCAGTCTTGTCCAGAAAAATCCTGTGATTATGCAGCAGAATTAAAATCTTTACATACTGAAGAACCAATATCTATTTAAAGTAAAATATCAAAGCCCAAGCTTTTCTTTAAGGATGAAATGGCTGCTTTCAGTTGATTTTTATAAGACAAGTGAAGTTTTTAGCTATTACTTCAAACAGTTTTAGTCTATTTAGATGATACTTTACCTGTTAGGATTGGAATTTGGAGTACTTAGTTCAATGATATGAACTTCTCTTCCCTGGACTAAGTTAGACATGAGGCACCCCTCTGCTGGTTTTGGTTGCAGGTACCCCGCAAGGTAATTCAAAGACAGAAAATTCTTCTTTATGTTGCACGAGGGAGGAAAAACTTGATCTGGAGGGGAAAAAAAAGCAAGCAGAGGGACCTTTAACCACAGATGGCAGCTTAGATGTATGCACATACCACGTACACTTCAGTGTTCACTATATTTCTTAAAGGTGTCTCTAACATCTGTTACAAGCACATATGACAAATCATCATATTGAAAAGGAGATTACTGTTGCACCAATACATCAACTTTCTAATAGTTATTATTTATGGATTTAAACACTTAATGAAAGAAAATCCCTGTAAAGAAAAGTGTGAAAACAATTCTGAAGAAAAATGTGAAAAACTTGTCAAAATTAATAAAATACATTTAATTTGCTCCTTGTATCTTTACAAGAGATTTCTTTCTATTGCAATTTACTTGGAGATAACTTTTGGAATCAACGCCTTCTCCCTGTGGAAAATATTTTATTCTTGTTATTATAAACTTACCATGCTTTAAATACTATAGAAAGTACTTTCCATTTCCTTACTTAATATATTTACTATATATTGTGTAGTCAGAGTCAGTATTGTCTAGAAAGCAACAAATACTGCATTTGTCTTGCACATGGAAAATTAAAAGCTTCAAAAAATTATGGAATCAGCTGTTGATACAAAGAAACTCTGATCACAATACACATAGCTGAAATAATGAAATTCTAGCATAGCTATTCAATCTCTCTTCTGGTTTTAACCAAAAAGCTGAATATGAGCATTACAGAACCCCAAAATATGCTGAGCTGGAAGAGATCCACAAGGGTCATTGAGTCCAACTCCTGGCTCTGCACAGGACCATCCCCAAGAGCCACACCCTGTGTCAGAGCATTGTCCAAAGGCTTCTTGAATTCTGCCAGGCTGCTGCTGTGACCCCTGCCATGGGGAGCCTGTGCCAGCGCCCAAACACCCTCTGGGCGAAGAGCCACTAGTGTAAAATGCAAACTATAAAAAAAGTCACTTCATATGAAATTCTCATGCACAGCCTCTATTACTGTAGCCAAAGAAACACTATTTCTACTGAAAATCAGGAGCACTTTGCCTTTCTGAGATAGCCTGACATATGAATTGTCATAATACACAGAAGGACCAAGTACCATGTTCAAGTACTTGAAGTCCTGTAAGAATACAATTCCACATGCCTGGGTCTTTGACCATTGCTGTACAAGAAGGACTTTTCCTATTAAGGTCAGTAGCAGGATACAAAAAAAACCCAAAAAACCAAAATAAAATAAATCAACTAGCATGCATTGTGAACAAAAAACTGTGAAACTCTTATGAGCTGTTCTGAGGCCATGCACTCTCTAAATGAGAACTGAAATGTCACCTCTGAAGGGCATTTGTGTGTGCTAACCCAGCTCTGCAGGAAGACCAGAGACTCCTGTGACCCTGGTCTCTGCAGAAACAATCAGGGGAGTTTCTTCTCCTGATCTTACACAAAGCAGCCTTTGAATATTAACCCTGTTGTGTCCCCTACAGAAGTTACTAAAGCTGTATAAGGCTGTGACTATTCATACTGCCCAGGCAAAGCACTTCTCTAACATCTGGTGTGTGCCCTGCCAGATTAGCCTTGAATGCAGCTGCAGTTCTGTCAGCTCCTCCCACAACAGCACAGAATGGAAAATGATCCCAAATGGTCTATGCTGAGCTTAAATTTTTAAATATATCTATATATATACACACACAGAGACAGTAGGTATTTTCTTCTTAACTGCTGTACAACATGATTCAGGCCATAGAATACCAGTTCTGGAGCAGTTTGTGGGTAATTACCACACGTGCTATCATTTGCCATTGCAAACAACTCAGTTCTTGCTCCTGGCACTTCCATGAGGCGTCTCTGGAACTCTCCAGAAGTGCTGCTCTTGCTGCCAGAAGCACAGAGAGTCCCCAGCCTGGGCCCCCACTCGATAGCAAGCTTTTCCTCTGCAGCAGATTTCAACTCTGTCATGGGCTAATTGACATGTACACCAGAATGAATCCACACCAGTTACCAAAACTGGGCTGGAGCAGAAAAGAAAAGGGGATCCATTCCAGCTTTCTTTGCTCACTACACATCTCCTCTTTGTTAGTTTCAGGTCTGTCTACACACTTTGGAAAGGGACTGCAGGTGTCTGCAATCAATTAAAAACATACCAAACCAGCCAACAAACAGTCAGTTTATGGATTCTGTGCCTCTCTAATCTCCCCAGACTCCCAACAGGGAATCAGACGTGGGGTTTGCAGGAACACCCTCAGCAGAGGGTCTCTGGCAGCAGCTGGGGTGCCAGGGGGCCCTGCTGGCCAAAGGCAGCAGAGCTGTGAGCAGTGGCCAGCAGCCAGCTTCCATCAGTGAGTGCCAGGCAGGCTGGATGGACACAGCACTGCACACCAGGATATGTCCCTTCTGTGTGCAGCACTTGTTTTTACTGATGAGGACAGACACTGCCTGCTCTGTTCTGCACAAATTAGGTGCCATCCACAGGTTCCTGGCTGAAGTTGAATATCCAAGCTTAACATCACCCTGAGGAGGTTTTTGTGCAAATGAGCACCATTAATCAAGTGTCACTTCCCAAGACAGGCACCCTGGGCAGCAGCAGTTGGATTCAGGAATAAAAATCCCATCCAAGCAAGAGCTTGCCTTTCAAAATCTGATCTGGGCATAAGCAAGGTGTTTGGAATTTTCCTTGGGCACCCTGATGGTAGGGCTTATTTATGTGTATTTCACAGTTTGCTAGCCCTTAGCACAACAGAGATCAGAACCTTGGCTGGCATTTAATGGCAGGATAGAAATGGGATCAGGGAAGGGCCTACAAGGGTCTCAGGAGGGAGGATGCAAACTCTAGGCAGTGCTCATCCTGCAGCAGGACACACAGCTAAGCCAGACACAATGGGACCATGTGCCAGCCTTAAACCAAGCAAGCATGGCATGCAGGATATGTGCACTGGCTATAAATTCAGAGTCAGGAATGATGTTTCAGCTTCTGCAAGGACAGAAGCACAGTGTTACTGTCTGTAAATAAACTGTACATTTTCCAATTTAGCTACTGTTAAAACTAATTTTTTCTTATTTAGGTAAGAAATGTGTTGAAATTAGGGTCCCTCCAGGCTAGCACATTTGCCCTGGATTTACTGGTGATGCTGGATGCATTAGGTAACATTTAGCTAACTGATAGGACTTCCTGACTTGCTCAATCATGTCTTACTGAACCATAAGGAATTAAACTGACTTCTGCTGTAAAACACGTACCAAGAGCACTGTCATCATGAGCAGTCCTGCCTTCTAGAATCTGACGGTGATTATCACAGCAGCCACTCTGCCCTCTCCTTCATTACACAAACCAAGGCAAGAGCAAGAACCTCACTTCTTGTGCCCTCTTCCTCCACACCCCCATTCTGGTCCCTTAAAATTCTTGCTGTGATCACCATCCCTGCAGTATTTGATCAGCCACTCTTTAGAATCAACAGGATTCAGATGCACTTGGCCCTGATCCAGTTTGCTAGTGCTCTCAGCTGCCTTTCATTTGCAGTTTCAAAAGTGACTTAAGAGACCCATGGCATCAGAAGCAGCTTTATTCTATGAAAGATCAGCCTTCTTCAGATCTTTCTGTCCTTTGGCTTGCATTTTCTGTGTTCAGCTACAGCCTACACTTTTAAAATGTTACATCTTCCAGTTTCAGATTTGTCTAACTTGAGTGAAGCTGAAATGTAGACAATTATATGAATACAGCCCTCAAATTCTGTATCAGTCACACAGCCAGCAACTGCTTTGTGTGACCACCTATAGATTATGAGCAATTCCAGCAGTGATTCACACCCTGTCTGCTGAGGGTACCTTACTAAATCTCATGAGAGTGTAAGTTTTCTATGAAAAGCCTACATTGTACGTCACTGCATGCTGTGGTTTGTGAAATCCAGTGATTCCATTGTTCACTCTGCAGAGAAGCAAACCAGGAGCACATCCCACGTGGTTTTCACAGAACTCCTCACACAACTCTGCAGTTCAAGAACTAACCCTGTCCCCACCCCTGAGCACATGCATAACCCCCCCACATACACACATGTTCCCTTCTGCCAAGAATTTAAATCAAAATCAAACAATTACAGCTGAGCTGGTTTGTAGGAGCCTTCTCAGAAACTGTCTGTTTTGGTTGCCTGCCAAGTTCCATTTTGTGTACTTGCTCCTAATTAAATTGTGTTTTAGTGCATTCTAAAGATGATGCAAAACTCCCCTCTTTAGCCTCCTGGTTTGACTGGAGACATCCAAATCAACAAACAAAATTTCATCTGGTTTTTTCAACATATCTAATTAAATATTTGTCTCCACAATGCAGAGACCACTACTTCCATGTATATGTTTCAAGAGCATTTTAATAAGGTAAGAAATATATTTCTGAATGATTTTCTGGCATTAGAATCCACAACTGGTGCCAAGTAGAGCCAAAAAAAAAAAAAAAAAAAAGCCCCCACACAAGGGAATCCTCTACAAATTTGGCAAGATTTGGATAAAACTAACTCAGGCATATTCTGATTTTGGGGGGTAAACCTCCTATGTCAGGAAATGAAATTATCAGATACATGTGGTTAGGAAAGAATGTTTTGTCCACTGAAGGCTTTTTGTTGGTTTTTTTCTTGCCTGTAACCAACTAGTTCAGCTGTTTGGGAGTTTCTGTAGATATTCCTGCAGAGGATCACAGAGTTATGTTGTGCCAACACTGCTCAGCTATGGAGCTACAGCCTGAGCCCCACCCCAGTACAGGCCTGTGTGCAGTCCCCAAGGAGCTGGGGTCCTCTCCCATCTGCACTAGGCCACCTGAAGAATCTGGCATGTGGCTCAGAGGGACAGGAAATCTGTCTCCTTGGGATGAAAATATGTCAGTACAGACTAAGTGGTGAGGAAGGCAATAATTCTGTGCCCAAAGAAGCCTGGATCCTTATACAAGCAAATAATGAAAAAATAATGTAACTCAGGTATTTCTAGAAATTTCCCCCTATTTCAAGATGAATGCACCCAAACTATCACCATGAGTAGCTGATACTGTTTAAAAGGCAAAGTTTGACTTTTGTAAGATTCCGAGCAATTGCATGCACATTTATGAGCATAAAGTGATGGCACCACAATCCATTAAAAGTTTCCTAACCCAAGGTCTGGTCTTAGATTTGAGGCTTGCCCTTATTTCTCTGCTTCCCCTTTCATATGTTTAAAAATTAAAATAAGTGAAATATAAGCAACATATTCTCAGTATCTGGAAGTGTCTATCAGTTCAGTTGGTTTTGTTCTGGTTTACCTTCTCCTACTTTAATGTAGATGTTTCTTGATATTTTCAGTTCAGTGAAAGACGTTACTGCTCCATATTCCTTCTGGGCCCATTGTAGCAGATGTTCATTTTTCTCAGGAAAAAACTTTTCTTCTGTTTCTGCTGACAAAGAGAAGTTTCCCTTCTCAAACTGAACAACGGAACCTACAGACACCTGATGGGAATAAAAACACATTTTAATGTGGTACATTTATCCATGCAGACACGTAGCATGTTTAAGTGATGTGACCTCTCATACCCAAATGCAGTGACTGAAGGTGATTATGGCCTATTTCCACTTTGCATTTTCACCACCTAGAAGCACCTATGCCATGGGCTGATTTCATGGAGCATCTCTACAATGCCCCTAACATATCAAATTCTGTGTAAATCCCAAGTGTACAGTCTCAGAGGATGGCACTGACACAGCACATGCCAGCACATGCCGGATTGTGCACTTTTATATCAGAGACATGTGGGACATTTTCATAGAGCTTTGGCCTAACTAGAAAAATCTCCCATGCATGAAATTCACAGGATTTAAAGACTTAATCAGAGATGATTTTGCAGGAATATTGAATTGATTTTGGCATTCCACCCTCAGAGACAGTTATCCAGTAAGAGTAGTAGCTGGTTTTCATTTACACATTGTTTCCATTTGTTTTTATGGTCAGCATCAGGGTAAAGCAGCATCAGTGTGTTGTTTTAAACATTTCAAGACAGCATGAGAAAAAATATTATTCCTTCTAAATAACAATCAAAGAAATTGATTACTTTACAATAATACATTTTTGCTGTATTTTTCATTTGAGATAGTTAAATGTATGCTAACACAACAGCTGTCTTCCTCAGAATACACTTGGTTTTTCATTTATTACTAATTAAAACTTGAAAACCTTTTTTATCATCCTGCAGCATGACAAATGTCTTCCTGAGGGACAGATCCTATCGAAGTGGCCACGTGCTTCAAGGGAGGAACCGACAGACAGAAAGCAGAGCAACTAAAAGTCTGGCACAAGCATCCTCACTAAGTGATCATACAGTAAACATCTTGAAACAAACATGAAGCTTATCATATTTACTTTTTTCAATCACATACTAAAGTCTATTTGAAATCCTGGTTCCACTACCCAGGTTTTAGAAAGGACTGCAGAGTTCTGCTGTGCTTGCCAATGTTGGGATTTTTACTACACAGACCTAAGGCAAGGTTAAGTGAGCCAAGCATGTTATTTGTTCTGGAAAGAATTCAACAGACCCTTCCAAAAAAGGCAACCATCACTGTTTCAACACCTGCCTTGAACATTAACTACTTACTCTTCAGAACAAATCAAAAGCAAATCTAACATGCTTAGGATAATGCAAAGCATTAAAGCCTAATAATGTTTTAAATATTTGGGAACCAACCAATTTTTATCTGAGCACTAATTACGCACTGATTGAGTGATTAAGAGACGGCTGCCACAGACACTCTTATCTCCTCCCTTCAACTTCTTTAGTGGTTACTTTCTGAGGTTGCGGAGTGGAAAAAGTGCCCCAGCTCTATTTCTTCCAGTTCTTGTGAGGACATGAAAAGGAACTGCACTGGAAACATCCTCTGCTGCTGAGTAAACCTACATGTCCTGTCACTTTTCTGAGACTAAATGAAGAAGCTGGACATGGAAAATCTGTTTGCAAGACCATAAGATACTGGCCATAGCCACAAACCACAGCAAGCACCACAGTTCAGAGGGCTGTTCCTCAGAGGAAATGAGGATCAAGCATAGGATATTGAAAATATGCTACCAAAACCTGAGTATTCCATCAAAGAACAAAACATATTTAGGAACATATTTTGGTTGCATACACTACTACCCTGCTGACCATTGGGGAAAACAGGGCTTGAAATTTTCTCTGCACCATACCAGATCAAGGAAACATACACCCCCTCATGCTGGGGCAACAAAACAAAACCAACCTTCATACATCCCTTAAGAAAAGTTCCCAGTCTGAATAAAACTGCCCTTGCAAGGCTGCCATGGCAGTTCAGGACATCAGTTACCTGGCAGAAGTGCCAAATGTCATCAGTTACTATTCCCCAGAGGGAACAACTCTCAGAACCAAACTTGACTCATCTCAAATACATGCAGTGGTGAGTGCGACTACTGCGCACACAAAATTGCATATTCTGTTTCTTATTTTACCTATTTCCTTCTCTCCCTTTAAACATTTATTGCCTTATTTCTTTCTTTGAATCTGATCCAAGGGGATATTTACTTTGCCTTATAACATTTTAAGTATTTAACACAGTTATAATTCAGAACTCCCAAGTAGGAAGCAAGTTCATAATTCAGCCTTGAAAGAGAGGTGGGCACCTCTGGGCCATGACTCAGGATATAAAGGTAAGTGTGCACAGGCAGCCAGCATGAACCAATCCCTCCTCTCACAACAGCTACACCACCACCCATCCAGGGCCTGCCAGCACAGCGACCACCTGATCACCCCTAAAGCCATGATGGAGGTAAATGTACCAGGAGGAAAAGAAGCAGTATCCTTCATATTTGTATCTGAGCTGTACAGCATCAGACCTGTGTAGAACATGTAGGAGAGGAGTGTATCTGCTCAGAATAAAATGAGAATATTTGAACCAACTACTGGAGCAGCCTACATGGAGATCAGAGTCAGCTGGTGTTTATTGATACTGTACTTTGACGTTATTTCATCCTCTTATAGAGGAAAAATAAAGCCACAGATGGAGAAATATCAGGTATTCCAAAACTCAAAAATGCGTATTTTGTTGTTCATAAACCCATATACAACATACTTGAATCATTAAAAGAACAATTCTCTTCAAGTGAATAAGAAACATGCTGCTTTTGAAATTACATGCCACACTTGTGAATCACCTATCAAATCTGCATAGTCCTTACAGTCACAGAGGTGTGATGGTTTCAGGCAATGACAAAATGTTTCATTTTAGTGTTCTCAAGACCACATGCAATCATCATAAAATTCCACTTGAAGTTCTCACATTTTTGAAAACATACACATGAGGAGCATTATCTTAAATACATTTTAGATTTTAACTCAACTTCCTGGGAGATACTCAGTTTTGCAGCTACCAAAGATCCTTATATAATTAATGCTGTTCAATGTTTTCTCAGGATGAAAGCAGAACCTTACAAGATCAGAGAGCAGACTCCTGCACATCTTTGTATCTTTATATATGTAGGGAAAAGATCCTGGGATTTTCTATCAAAGCTGAATCTGTGTCAAATCAAGTGGAAATTTCAAAATCCCTCAGGAACAGTTACTAGAATGATAAAGAAACAAACAAGAAAATCTGTGGAAAGGGGAAATCTGGTACCAAGGTTTAAGGCTCAGCAGGAGTTTATTAATTGCACACAGGTAACTGCCCACTTAATTTAACAACATCTTAATAGACTCAACATAACACTTGTTTGATATGAGCAAAATAAGGCAGCAGAAGCTTTTCCAGGCATTCTGTTTCAATTTAGAGGCAATTCAGTGGAAGAAGTGAGAGGAGAATTAAAACCTATCTATGCAACTGCAGCTATAGATTCCACTGGAATCAGTGACTCAGTAACAACCTGTTGTGATTTATTATCTCCACATCACTAACACCAGGAGTCTGCCAAAATCCACTGCCTGCTTCTGTAAACTTCCACTGGCTAAACCCCCTGTTTACTGAAGCAAGCAAAGAAAGGAAGGAGCCATGACCATACAGAAGAAAAAAGATTATCACAGGTGCCTGTTCCAGGTCCTTCAGCCTCCTGCAAGATTGGTTTGGGAATACACCTCAACTACTAAATGCCCAAACAGTCTTTGTTTCCTCACTCTTGAAGGCTGGATTAACTTAAAAGTCCACATCTTCCTGACTAGCAGCTGTCTTGGTCTGAAAGTGATGGCGCTGGGCTCCTAGAGGGACCAGGAGGAGGAGGAATGCTTAGGAGCAGTCAGAGGCAGAATTGAGAAAGATCAGCAGGAGATACAAGAGGCAGCATCATCAGATCTGGCCTATCCACACTCCTAACACGAGTTCTGGTTGGAGCAATGACCTACAGAGACAGCCCACTCCCACAGCTGAAACAAACACCACACAATAAAGGTTGAGTTCTGAAAGATGTCTTAAATCACATGGGATCTAGTATGAACTCTGTGACACTCTCAGCAAACCAAGCTCCCCAAAAAAACACCAGCCTTTGAAGTCTCGAGAAAGAAGAATCTAAGGCACAAGGACCTGCCTGGTTTCCTGTGAAATTTACTGGCAACTTGGTTTTCTTGAAATATTTCTGCCCAAGCTGAAGTGATTGCAGTGAAAGCAGAAGGCAGCTATAGATCATAAAATTTGCCTATTTTGGGACATCACACATACAGAATGTTTTTACTATACTCTGCATATTCATTTCATGTACTGCATCTTGCTTCCTAAGCCAGAAATAGCAACTCTCTTCTGCAATGTCTTCCTGAAGCAAGCTTTGAAAAAAAAAAAATACCCTCAACCCCCTGGATATTTAAAGATGCCTTACCAGGCTTACTGTACTCTTAAACTCCTTTTACATGCATCATTTTCAAGCATCTATTTGCTACTCTGTCATTTTCTGCCATTCCTACTGCTGACCAAATCCTTCTGCTCTTTTCACAAGAATCATCATCACAGGCAGCCTGAAGTCCCCCTAATATTTCTGAGAATAACCCATTTATATAGACTTTAGGCAAGCAGTATTTTGCCAGGTTTGAATCATGCCAGGAGACACAGTCTACAGGGAAATTTACCATTGTGAAAAGCATACGAAGAGTTACTGTTTACTAAGCACTGCTTTTAATTTGACACAAAATGTTAATGTTCACATTTTTTCAAAAAGCAAGGAAACAGTGTGGGGATGAGAAGGGAGAATATGAACTTTTCCAAGTGGAAAAGGGCAACTACAGGATAATTTCCAGCTCCTGAGTAGAAGAATGATGAAGACTTATAAAAAAAAAAGCAAACTCAGGATTCTACAGTAATGTAAAGCTCCTTTTAAATTCCTCTTCACACTGTTACACAACACTGAAAATCTATGCTTTTACTTTGAATAGTGAAAGGTCACTATTTATACCAAATTTATCACTAGTCATGTATTTCCTATCCTTCCTCACTCTTCTCCTAGCAAAGCACTCTGCTCACATCTGGGTCTG